AATGGAAAATATGGGAATTTGTTCCATGGAGAAAGGAATCTAAAATTTATCCTTTACTGCTTAAAGCCTTATCCGAAACAGGACCTAATAAGGAGTTATCTCAGAATCACTTAGAGAACACTTAACGCATTAGGTTAACTCCTTATTAGGTCCGCGGTTAACTTCGTAGGTCCTGAAACCTTGACTTTCATGCTGCAGTCATACTGCCTGCTTAGTGAGAATACAGCACTTCAGTGAAATGTCTGGTGCACAGGGACAGAGGGGTAAGTACTGCTCTTTGCCTCCTTTTTAGATCTGCAGGAGCATGTACAGCTGCGGCGTTCCTGAAGGAGTTCGTGACTCATCCGAAGTGGGCGCATTTAGACATTGCAGGTGTGATGACCAACAAGGATGAGGTTCCGTACCTACGGAAAGGCATGACCGGGAGGCCCACCAGGACGCTGATCGAGTTCCTGCAGCGCTTCAGTCAAGACAGGGCCTAGTGCAGACACTCAGAAATCGCATCTGTCTTACTTTGGGCAGTTCAACTTAAATGTTTTTGAACAGATAAAAGTCTCTTAAAGGCAACAAGGATGGCATTTTAAAAGGTGGAACAAAATGAAAATGTGTATGCCTTGATTTGTCATTTTATGCAAAGATTTATAAAGCTAACATGTTGTTTGGCAAGCTTTTACAGATCTTCATTCTATGCATAACATTATTTTAAAACTTCCTGATCACTTTTCAGAGTGTATACATTTAACTGAAAGGAAAAATTGCATCTCAGATCTGCGGTGCTAGGAACTTAAGCAAATTAACAGTTACTATGCAATTGTCAGAAACAATAAATCCAACTTTTTCTGCTGTCTGGTTTGGCTTACATGCTTACACACACACACACACACACACACACACACACACCCCTATAAACCTAGAAATGTTACCACACCAGTTTGTCCTTTTTGGCCTTGTTACATGTACTACATAAGTAGACACAGTAATAACATAGCTGTTTCGTCAGTGCTAATAATCATTTGTGGGCACTCAGCGTACTAGTTTGTGAAACAGTGGCCAGGCACGTGATTTTCAAAAGAATCAGTCATAAAGTAATAATGTTAGCTGCTGTGAACTCAGCCGTCTGTCAGAACTCAGTTCTGAGTTTTCATTATTAAATCCTCAGAGTAAGCCGATGAAGTAGGTCCTCTTATCCCCATGTAACAGGTGAGGCCAGTGGGGCACGAGGCAAGAGGAGTAACCTGTTAAGTCAGAGCCAGTAACTGGTAGGGCCCAGAGCGAGACCCAGGTGGTCTCCACAGCTGGCACGTTCAGCTAGTGCTCTGTTAACGCTTCCAGTTCACTGACTTGAACAGATGTGGGATTTATTTGAAACACCAGCGGAAGAAACTAGACCGTACAAGGGACTTTCACACTACCTGCTCACTCCCAGGACTATAACCCATCAACCGAATTCCATTTGTGCAGACTTAGAACAAAGCTCTCCTCTTTTTCCCTTTTGTATCACATGGATTAAATTACTCATGAATAGAATTATGCACGCCCCCTCGATTGAGACCGAAAATATTTGACAGAAGAGGCTGTTTATTGCAGTTTTATCTTTTAAACAGTTTGACATAAATGGACATTATGTATCCAAGCTGGATTTCAAAGGGAATAAAAACAAACAGGCACATTTGTGATGTATTTTAGAATGAAAGAAAATCAGGCAAGAGTAGTGAGCAAACACATTCCCCTGGGTATGCATGTTCAGAGGGGATAAAAGAACAGTAGAACCCCATGTTTACTTGTATGTGGGATGCAGAAGACTTTTAACACAGTCCGTAGTTCCATGTGCTCATCTAATGTGGTTGAGGAAACTCAGTTGCCATTGCACTTGTATCTAGCAGTCAGAAACGACACAAGTGCCTTGCCAATCTTCAGAACCGTGGTCATTATCCCCATCGGTACTAACCAGGACTAGGCAAGGCTATGAGAAAACCCAAACGAGCAGTGATTTAGAACACAACAGTTTTAAACGGTGAGAAGTAGGGAATCCAAGGCTCAAGGGCAGTCCATGGCCATCAGAAACCTAGGCTGGGAAGCCACTGTGGCTTCACCGTTTCCTCAGTCCCAGGTCACAGCTGGGGTTGGAGGCAGTATGACGTTGAGGAAAAGGAGCAGGGTAAGAGGAGTGCAACTGCAGTTAACACCTTTAAGTTCTCACAGAGGCCTCTACATTCTCTTATCAACCAGATTAAGCCAAGGCAATTGCAAAGGACTTGGGGAAGTGTAGAGATAGTTCTGTATACTGCTACACTTGATAGAAGTAAGACAGCTCATGAACTCTACAGTAGAACATGGATTAGAATCCAGATCCGCAAAGTTGAACATCTCTATGCGCCAAGACCCTGAGCAGAAGAAACCACTAAATAAACCTTTATTGATATAAAGGGCCAGTTCACATTGTCAGTATAATGAGGGCGGGTAACAGCAGAAGTTTATTGCTGTCTCTGCTCACAAACTGAGCAAACTGCTGTTAAGTGTCCCTACCAACTAAATAAAAGGAGACGGTATGATACAGATGAATTGTGAAATCTTGAGACTACCTGGGAGTTAAAGGTTTTAGGATTACAGCAGGGTAAATGCAAAGATGTCTTCATAATCTCAAAGTAGTACAAAAAGTTTCACTACTTTGAATAAAAGATCCAGAGTCGGCAAACATGCCATGCCAACTTTGTGGCAGACATTGCCATGGGAAGGCAAAATAAACAGGTTACAATCCTTGCTCTTACCAAATTCAATCTAGGGTCGGGGGGGAAGAGTTCTACAACCATGTTTTATTTGGTAGCATATCAACGAGACAGTATTGGCCTCAACATTTCTTTGGGGCTGTTCCTTTGCAGCTATGTTCTGTGGCTTTTACTCTACCCACCATGAGCTCTGGGCTCTTCCCCATCATCATCATCCTAGAAAAATGTTAGCTTAATATCTACAAAAAAGTCATGTTCACCAAATTAGTATGTATTCCATTCTTAGCCCCTAGCTGGGATTTTTTTCCTGAGCAAATCATGTAATTTTAATAGGACCACATCTCACCATTGCTCTCATCTGCTCTAATACTGCACATCATCCTCTCTATACTGCTATATTACTGCCTCACTGGTATCCCTGCACCCATTTGTTTTACCTGAATGAAAAGACTCTAAACATAAATCACATTGCATTGCTATTTTCTCAAGTTATTTGGTCTGTGCCAGGCAGTGTAGTAGACCTGTACATACATAATCTCATTCTTAGTTATCCTATAAAGATAACTTAAGTGCTTTCACAATTTATCAATGAAGTAGATTTTTCAGCAAAATCAAAAGTGGGTGGTTTATCTGTGCTGAGTCCAAAAAAATTATTGATCCGCATTCTCAGGCAACTTAACACTGGGGTTGGGTAAATCGGACATTAAATGTTCTTGCAAAAGCTGCCAGGTGCGGAGGCGCATATCTATAATCCCAGCATTCATGTCTTTTTGGTTTTGTTTTGTTTTGTTTTGTTTTGTTTTTTGCGGGGTGGTACTAGGGATTCAGCCTAGGAATGTTGAGCTGGAAGGCCTTTTATTTTAATTTGGAGACAGTGTTTAAATTGCCCAGGCTGGCATCGAACCTGTGATCTATGTGTCTCAACCTCCGGAGTACCTAGATTACAGGCATGTGCCACACATCTGGCTAATTCATTTTTTGTTCTGGGAAACAGTTTTAATAAAAACACTTTATGTTAACATGTAATAGGTCTATTACTTTAATGAACTGACTTTTTATTAAATTCTGAGTTTTAGTAGGTAAATATTAGCAGACATAATAATAACCCGCAAAAAACAAAATCTTTTGTGATCCTCGGTAACTTTTAGGGATGCAAAGGAGTCCTAGTTTGTAGACTAGTTCTCTCCGGGTTTTTTCTTTTGATTCTTTCAGTCAACAAATATGTTGACTTTTGCCAGGCACAGCTGTGAATGTTCAGGGTGCAGATGAATGAGACTGCCAGGCTCTGAAATCCCGGAGCTTGCACTCCAATTGGGGTGGGAATGGGGGCAATTTAGCCAAGGGAGAGAAACGAGCAATTCCAGCATATGTTTAAGTGCTATGAAGAAAACTGAACACGCTGAGTCTGAATCTAAGTTACACTGAGGCTAGGAAGGTAACTTTAAGCCCGGCAGGCAAAGGGAAGCGTCTACGTTTTCTGATCACTTCTGCCCTGGCCCACTCCTGGCCTTGCCGTGCTTCCTGTGGTCACAAATATACCAGCCAGGCAGGATCCTAATTCAAGGGACCCTCTGTTTAGAAAGCTCTTCTAGTTAGGTTTTCCTCCAATTTAGGTGTTGGAAAAGTCTTCCCTAATTACCTATGTTGAAGAACACCCCTCACTAGCTGTCCCCTCATAGGGAAGCAATTTTCCTTCCTAAAATTTATCTCTAATAGTGCTGTTTATACGTATGTGTTTGTTTCTCTCCCGCGAGAGATTTGGGTGATGGCTGTAACTCCCAGATCATTAAATAGTGCCTGAGACAACAGAGGATTCAGTATGCTGGATGGAAACTAAAAATAAAATGAAAACATGTCATGAAAAGATATTTAAGCAAGTTATTAAAATACTGATTCGGCTTTCTCTTTGATAATCATAAATACCCAAAGAGAACAATGCCAGGCAAACAGGTCGCCTGGACAACCGTACTGTTTGCTGTTTCTCCGCCCCTGCCTCTGAATCTGGAGGAAGCGTTTTCTGTCCGGTCGCCGCTCTAACCAATGACTGCATTAGCAATTGGTAGAATAAGCTCTCAGACAGTGTGGAGTGAGTGGGTAACTCTTCATTTTACCCACTCACAGCCTAGAGAGAAGAAAGTAAAAGCCCAAATCCATCCAGTCGTTTAGGGAAACCCAGGCGGCCCCTTCGCTGGGAAAGAGGAGGACCTTAAGCGCCAGCAACTGCTTCCGGCAGCCTGAACGCCTCGGAGAAGCGCCCGTCACGTGACCTGGCGGCTTCCGCGCAGGCGCAGTGGCCTCCCTGGCCGCTTCAGACATGGCGGCTCCACTGAGCGGCATGTTCTCCGGGCAGCTGCCCGGGCCCCCGGGTGCCCCGCCGGGACTTCCGGGCCAGGCCTCGCTTCTTCAAGCAACGCCTGGGGCTCCGAGAAGTTCTAACAGTACCTTGGTCGACGAGTTGGAGTCATCGTTTGAGGTAAACTGAGGCTTGAGGGTCGCCAGCCCTCCCTTCGTCCCGGAGACGGAAGCTGCGCATGCGCAGGTTACCTCCTTCCTGGATCCCGGGACTCGGTTTACAAACGGGGCCACCGAGGCTCCGAACCTAGGTTACTCGGTTCCGGTTCCACCGTGGGGGGTGCCCCTATTCTGCTCAGGTCTGCTGCCGGTAAACTCGTTTCTGGAGACACGTGGACTTGAAGTTTAATCCCCCAACCTCGGGACCCGTGCAGGTCCGCAGCGGGCTCTCGCTTATCTCGGGATGTCTGGTATGGGCGCAGCCTCTTCCGAACCATGCTTTTCCGCTGAGCTCCACTGTTAAACGGTGCAGTTTTCTCTCGGGACCCAGTTTAGACTCACATTTCAATGGAACTTGCCCTGTGTCCTTTCTAGTTTTTTTTTTTTTTTTTTTTTTCCGGTACCGGGAATCGAACTCACGACCTTGCGCTTGCCAGGCAGGCGCTGTGCCGCTGAGCTAAATCCCCAGCCCGTTTCCTTTCCTATCAGCTGCTGCTTCCCTGCTTCTCACTTCTGTTTGAGTGCCGCCCTTTTGGGTCCGTGGCTTTCACGTTGCGGTGACTCAGATGGAAGTTCGTTGAGATCACGTCCTCTTGCGTGGGGGGGAACCTTGGAGACAGCCTGGTCCCATCCCACCTTTTGCTGCTGGAGAAACTGAGGCCAGGAAAGCACAAATAATTTGCCCAAAACCAAACTGAATTTGTGAAAATAAGCACTACCACTCGGGCTCCCTGACTGTCCAGGCGAAACTATCTTAGGCATACTTCTAAGAAGCATTTTTTCATAGACCGCCGTGCATTTTGTTCTCCGTATGGCTCCCCATTTTCTATGGAAGTCTGTGTATTTGATTTTTTTTTTTTGAAAAGGAAAAAAGGGAGTGAGATTCATGAGATTTGTTTTCCACGCACCCTGTTGGTGCCACTGCTGGCTGGGGGAGGCAGGGAGGAGCCGCTCCAGCTTTGTGGCCCCGTTGTGAGTGGCTGGCCTCCCGAATGAGATGTTTTGCTTCAGTCATAGGTTTCACAAAGCAAACATGTTTTACTAACATCCCAAATCCAACAGGAGTCAACTGTGTTTCGTGTTTTGTTTTGATGTAGTGTTAGGGGTTGAACCCAGGGCCTTTGCATTGAGCTACATTCCAGCCCTTTAAACACTTGAGACAAGGCTGTGCTAAGTTGCCCAGGCTGGGCTTGGACTTGTAACCCTCCTGGCTTATCTTCCTGGAGTGCTGGGGTTCCATGCATGCACCATTACGCCCAGCCCGTCAACCGTGGAAGTAGAGAATGGGCAATCATTTGTTAAGGTCTGCTTTGTCCTAGGGCTGGGGGATTCCTGTGATTGTCTCTGTAATTCTAATGGGGAAACTGCAGGCAGGGCGATTTATTGCTTCCCCAAGGCCTTGCGTCTGTTTAGTGATCTAAATTTGAGCCTGTATCTGCATGCCTCATACCAAGTGTAGTTTGGTGAGACGCTTCTTTCTTCAAGTTGGAGGCCTTCTGCGCAAACTCTGCTTCTCCCTAGCTGTCACGCTGTCCTTTCTGGCGGGGCTGTCTGTAGTGGGCCTTTTTTTGTGTGTTTTCTGACCCCTCCTGCAGGTAGAACTTCTGACTGATTCACATGTACATTTCATTCAGTGCCCTTTAAGAGGAGCTCGCACTTTGGGACTTCTTTATCTGTGTGCCATCAGCCTTGTCCTGTTGGGCCACCCATTAATTAGGTGCTGTTTATTAAATGCCAAGCAGTGTTCCAAGTAGTCAAAGCAGGTAGGAAACAAGACAGAATTCCCACCTACTAGTAAGGACAGATAGTAATGCTAAGAAAAGATGATAATGTCATATAATTATATGAAGAACAATAAAGCTGGACCCCGGGGTAGAGCGTGAGCAGGAGGGACACCACTTGGAAAGAACAGATAGGGGCAGCCTGTCGGTGGAGGTGACATTTGGCCTGTATCCTGAATGGATGGTAGCATCAGTCATTTAAGGACCGGTAGAAGGGAGTTGTATGGGTGCTCAGCTCTGGCGTGGAATGAGATGGGAACGGGCAGGTGGACGGAAATCAGGTGGTGGTGCTGGCGCCGGGCCATGTGAGCCTCAGTTTACCAAGTATGGTACTGGCAGACCAAGTGTCTTTCTTGGCATGATGTCCTGTCACCTCCTGTCCAAGCCCAAGTACTGTCAACTTGTTGAATGATGTCAGGAGAAACATTTCTTACTCAGAAGTAAGATTTTTGATGTGCAGGTGACATCTTTTGGTATTTTGATATCATAGGCTTGCTTCGCCTCTCTTGTGAGTCAGGATTACGTCAATGGCACTGATCAGGAAGAAATTCGAACAGGTAAGAATTCCTCCTCTGTAGCCGCTCTTGCCTTCAGCAAGATTGCTTGTTGCTGATTCTGTACCCGCTGGGCTTCAGTCCTGCATGTATCCTAAGAACATTTCTGGGGACTAAGATACTTCTATAGTATCCCCGTGAGCCAGTGGGTCTTTTGTTCAGCTTATTACCTGACATGGGTCACTCATAATGAACCATGTATGTTTTTCATATTGGTACCAGGTAAAGAAGACTAACAATGTGAACTGCTTTTTTAAGTACCCCAAGTTGTGATTACGTTTTGTACAGGTGTTGTAAAGTCTGTTGTGTTTCTCTCATTTTCTGCGTTCTGTCCCAAGAGAAGCCAGTGCTTTTCATTTCTTTGTACCATATTTTAAATGTTTCATTTTCGCTGGAAATCATAATGCTGATTTCTCAATCTCTGGATTGTTTTTCTTTAGAAAGCCTCATAGCTTTCATGTTGTGTAAGGTCTGTTTCCTACCTGATGAAAGCACAAACCACATGGTGTCTAGTATTCACTAATACAAAGAAAGTTAGCAGCCATTATTATTGCTGTGACCAAAATTAAAATCCTACATTATATCTATAAGATGCTCTTTTATTTTATTTTTTTATTTAAAAAAATAAAAGAACGAATACATATTAACAAACACACATACATTCACAAAGTAACACAAGAACAATATAAGCAGTACTAAAATTCAGACAAGACGATAGGAAATTAACAGTGGTTCTTGTGTTACATATTGATTAAGATGCTCTTTTAATACTCTAACTGTTCATTTATGTAATAAATATATATGCCTAGTGTTGTTGCTAATTTAATTTTTGATCTTTGTTTTTTCTCCTAAGGTGTTGATCAGTGTATCCAGAAGTTTCTGGATATTGCAAGACAGACAGAATGTTTTTTCCTACAGAAAAGATTGCAGTTGTCTGTCCAGAAACCAGAGCAAGTTATCAAAGAGGTATAAACTCGTTTTTTTCTTCAACTTTTAGGAGGAGCAAATATTGTCAGGATTCCATGTATGCTTTATATGAGATAAACCCTTTTCCTATTATAGAGCTAGAGTGGTGTTTTATAGATCAGTGTGGAACGCTGCTGACTGTCTGCATTCCTGCGGAATAAAGAGCCAGGGAGTCGGGGTGTAAGGCGGAGCTCCAGACAGAGTAGCCCTGCACACTTGGGCCCCACACTGGCAATCACAGAAACTCTTGTCTTAAGAGTAGGTTCTAGCTTGGTGTGGTGGTGCACCTCTGTAATCCCAGCACCAGAAGGCTGAGGCAGGAGGATCATTGCAAGTTGGAAGCCAGCCTGGACTACACAGTGAGACCTGTCTCAAAACAAAAAAGAGAGAGAAGGGTCTGCCTATGAAAAAGGTTGCAAAGCCATTAAGGGAGATCAAAGTGCACTTGAGCAGGAGCTGTGGCCCATGTCCTCAGTTGGCCTACCTTGTGCCTTCCATGCAGGAGTGGATCTGCTCAGTGTTCAGAAAATCACAAAATAAATGTTCTGACCAAGGCTCCTCAAACTTGGGATCTCGTTGGTCTGCCGCTCTAACCTGGACACTTAGAAGGGTGTTGGCATGGCCACGAGGCCTGCGAGGCTTTAATACCATCGGACAGATTGGATCAGGAGCTGCCACCTTAGTGTGGAGGAGGAATCTCTCCATACAAAGCCCCACATGGAGATTATGCACTTGGGGGCAGTTTTTTAAGTACCAGTTCCAGACCAGTTAATCAGAAAGGTTCTTTTCATCCATGATAGCAGCTGTTGACGCGCTGAATGTAAGAAGAGAGGCTCTTACAGACCGTCGGGTCAGGTGATTTCCTGACATAAATACTTTAATAACAGTACAGGTGTGGCCAAGGCCAGGGCTTCATAAAGGATTTAACGTTGGGATTCAAGAGGAGCTTGATAATGTAGTTTATCCTTTCATAATCTGAAATTACAGAGCAGTGGTGTGGATTCTTACAAATCTTTCAGATTCTCAGCGATCTTTTGTTCTTACAGGTGTTCATAACAGAGGTGGCTGGTGGCTGAGGATTAAGATAGGAAAGTGATTTGTTTTTGGCTGCCCTTGAGTGCCTGTTGAATTCTGTGGCTTGTGTTATTACTTATTAAAGGAAAAATAATTAAAAATAGACACTGTAATGTTGGGCAGACATCTGCTATTGGAATAGTCACTCTGGATTATTCCCATGGTGGATATAAGCGTAGTGGATATGAGGGGACCAGCCGTGGGCTTAGTTCCGTTTTGTGTATTCGCTTGTGCCCTTACCACACGAGAAACTGCGTCCTCGTGCCCGGAGTCGGCTCTCACGTGCTCCATCACTTCCATCCGTAGGACGTCTCGGAACTCAGGAATGAACTGCAGCGGAAGGACGCGCTGGTCCAGAAGCATTTGACAAAGCTGAGGCATTGGCAGCAGGTGCTGGAGGACATCAATGTGCAGCACAAAAAGCCCCCGGAAATCCCGCAGGGCTCCTTGGCCTTCCTGGAGCAGGCCTCTGCCAACATCCCTGCGCCTCTGAAGCAGACGTGAGTGCGCAGGCCTGCGCGGCCGCCCCAGCGCACAGCTGTGCTGAACACGGCTCCCTGCGCCCGGCATCCGGGAGGAGTTCTTCGTGGAGACGGAGGTGATGCAGGTTTTATGTTCCTGCCTGTGATGTCCTCCTTACTGTTATGAGCTGTTAATTCCTTGACTACATTACAAAATGCCTGTAGCTTTGTTAGACCGAATTAAGTGTCTTGTCTCCAGCACAGTTTGGAGTCAGTATGATGACACAGATTCTTTCTTATATTTTATTTCTATTTTTACATGACTTCATTTTTGTTTCAGTTTGTTACAGGGTTACAATCTGAGGGGAAAAAATGACAGTAGTCTGAGAAGGTGGCCACAGGGGCTTGTCGGCCTTTCATGGTAACTGCCCTGCTGTGGTAGTGTAGAAAATACCCAGATTCGCTGTTTCAAAACGGTGAACTACCTCTGAAGAGCAGTCTAATGTAGTGGTGTTTGTAGTGGTTCCAGAACTGTGCAGGGTGCGGATGTTTTGAAATGTTAAAAAAAAGTGTTAAGAGATGCGGGGTTAGTGGGGTCGTATTTCCTTAGGCTCCTTCAGTTGATGGTGGCTTTTATTTGGGCTGCTTTATATTTGTGAGGTGTTCGTTTGCCCACTTTGGGGAGGGTGTACCAGGAGGGTGACTGCTGGATGCCGTGATGCCCCCGCGGGAACGAGTCGGTGTCAGGGGTGGTGGGCTCTGACTGACACCTGGGACACCTGCAGTGTGAGGATTAAGGTTTACCCGCTTTCTCTTTGAGCTCTGCACCTTGTTTGCTTGTGCTTCGTTTTACTTGTTTGGAGCAGAGAGTGTCCATTACAGGAAGTGTCTCATGCATGGATTGGACTCCAGGGGACAAGGGCCCTGGGGTCAGAGGCACAGCCTGCAGTGACCTCACTGTCCACCTCCACGGGCCGCATGTGGAGCCTCAGTGGTGGGGAAGGGTCTTGCCCTCTCGTTGGCTGAGGGTTTCCTCTCTTCTTTACGCCGCCCCTTACTAGGTCCCAGCAGCACTCTGCCTCTTCTGAGAATCCACACAGCGGAGGCTCAGGGGCTGGACCGCTGTGCCCCCTCCCCGCCCTGCACTCGCCCTGCTCCAGCCTGGCGCCACCTGCTGCACAGGGCCTCGGGTCCCTTTCCCCTGCAGCCCTGGGGCACAGGACTTCTCTTCCGCGCCCGTGCTCGGGGCTCTTCTTTGTATTGTGGACTTGTATTTGTCCCTTTGCCCTGGCTGCATTGTAGGCCATAAGATAGGCGTAACCCCCCTTGCCCGTACACGCTCCTGTATTACTGTCTTTTATGTGTGAGGCTTACCCCTCTCTATAGTTGGTGCTGTGTGTAAGATATTGGGCCCAAGGACCTATCATTACCAGCCTGAGCCCAACAGACCCCCTCGGTTAGAATATATCAGGGTCAGACAAAGCTCTCACATGACAAGATGTTAACTTTGTTATCCCACAGACTGACCAGCAGCTTTCAATGTCTTGATGAATAATATAAATATACAAGTTAAATTTGGGGCACAGTTTTACTAGTAGAGGTGTGCGAAGATTGGAGTTGGCACGCCTGTAATTCCAGCACTGGGAGGCTGAGGCAAGAGGCCTGCAGGTTTGAGTCCAGCATGGGCAATTTAATGACTGAGTGAGGCCTGTCTTAAAATTTAAAAGGGGCTGAGGTTCAATTCTCAGTACCACAAAAAAAAAGTGGAAACTGGGGCCCAGTGCTACATGTCCGGAATACTAGCTACTCAGGAGGCTGGGGCAAGAGGACTGCGCATTCAAGGCCATCCTGGGCAACTTAGCAGGATCCTGTGTCAATGTAAAAAGTGCCGAACATGTAGCTCAGTGCTCAAAATCCCAGGGGTTTCACCCCTGGAACTGAAAGGAGGTTAAAAAAAAAAAAAAGAAACTGGTTGTGCTTGGTACTTGTAAAAATATTTTGAATTAGGTATATATGAGTTATTGCCATTTTTTTATTCTCCAGTTGAAAACTTGCCTGTCAAATAAAGAATTTTTCTTCCACCTTGTGAGTTTGAAAATACCTTGTTACTCCTAAATGATATCTTGTCCTGAACATAGACACTCACTCAGCTGCCCTTTCCAGGAAGAAAGTGACTTCCCAGCTTCCAGCTGCCGCCGCGCCTGCCCCGTGTGAGACCCGAGTTGCCACCTGTGTGCAGGGCCTGGCCGGCGGCCTCCGTCTCTGGCGTCCTGTGTGTCTCAGTCCCTGCACAGCGCACGGGACCCTCGGCCCCGTCGGAGTGTTTCCCTCGCCTTGGGCTGCCGCCCAGCGCCCCACCTCCTTTCAGCGCCCCCAGTGCCCCCGCCCTGTCCTGCGGGCTGTGTCTCCCTCTCCGGCTACCATAACGATGCTTGTGGCTGTTCCTGGCCACTACGTTGTCCCTTTTCTCTTTCCCCTTCTGCCCAGCCCCTAACTGTTGGCCTTGCTCAGCACCGGGTCTGGACGCCCAGGACACAAAGGAGCTGCCGCGTCCTCCATGCAGGAGAGCTGCTGTGAGAGTCCCAGTTGCAAAGCCTCCCACCGCTGGCCACGCTTGTCCTGGGCGTGCGGTGCTGGAACCAGGCCGTTGCTGTCACCGTGGACTCCTCTGAAGGGCCGCCTTCTTAGGAACTCCTTCAGCTGGCCAGGACGTCCCCAGAGCTGTCCAGTGTCAGACTCTTGGCACAGTCCTCATCACCCTGCCCCGTCACAGATCTGACCTGCATCTGCTCCCTCCGTCTTCACTGCTGTCCTTTGTCTTACACGCGGGTGTCCCCACCCCGACACCCAGTAACCGGCCTCGCCCTGGCCATGTTACTCTGCTGGACAGAAACGGTCTCAGGACACCAGCCTTGCACAGAGCTGTTCTGGGTTTATGATAAAATAAGACAAAACAAAGCCCTTCCTAACTTAGGCTTAGAGTTAAGTCCCCAAATCCAGAAATTTTGAGCACCAACAGGACACTAGGTGAGCGATTCCACACCTGATGGGTTGTGGTCCAAACAGGTGCACTAAAAACGTGTGAAGGGGGCTGGGGATTTAGCTCAGCGGCAAAGCGCCTGCCTAGCAAGCACAAGGTCGTGAGTTCGGTTCCCGGTACCGGAGAAAAAACAAAACAAACAAACAAACAAAAAAAACGTGTGAAGTCAGTCTGTGGGCCCTGTGTTTAGGTACATGGGGGCATGCATGTTTACACTTGGGTCTCTTCAAGAAATCTTATATATGCAAATACTCTAAACTCTGAAGGAAATTTAAGACCTCAACTTCTTTCTTTCTTTTTTCTTTTTTTTTTTTTTTTGTGCTGAGGATTAAACTCAGCCTTCCTGAATTACATCTTCAGCCCTGGAAAAAAAAACCCAAACTGGTAGCACTTCCGGTTCCAAGCACTTCCGGTTCCAAGCACTTCCGGTTCCAAGCACTTCATATAAGGGATGTGCAGCCTGTGTCATTAGAGGTGGGAAGTCTGTGAATGATGGAGTCGTGAGGGCCTCTGCGTGTCAGAGTCAGGCAAGCCCCTGTGCTTCCACCAGGTGAGGTCCCTCACAGGTGCCATCAGGGAGGAGCGGTCTCACCCGACTTGTCAGACCCGCTGGCATCCAGATCCTGGGCTTAGCCTCCAGACTGGGCCATAAATTTGTTTTTTTATAAATTAGCCAGGCTAAGGTATTTTGTTTCATTATAGAAACAGTGCTTAATATCTAGTGTTAAACATGGGGTGCTTTGTCACATGTCCGTTATCCTAGTGTGTGGGAGGCTGAGGCAGGAGGAAGAATTGAGCCCAGGGATTTGAGTATAGCTGGACAAGATAAAAAAGAAAAAGAAAAAAAAAAAATCACCTAAACAAAAAAATGCAAAAATTTGATACTGAAGAATATTTTGGCATGCTACAGCTATGGGGACAAGTATTGGCATTTTTAGAATTATACTAGAGCTTGAGGATGTAATGTTTCCCTAGCATGTGCAAGGGCCTGGGTTCAATTCCCAGCACCAGAACAAAAGAAAAAAAAATGTGACTGACATCTTGTTTTGTTTAGATAGTAAATTTACCATTAACTTGTGGGTTTCAATTTTAGCTGGCATTTCTTAAAATGCTGTGCTATAATCAGCTACTCCTTATAGGTGATCTGATCAACTTAGTGTGAACTTCCTTCTTCTGAGCTGTCTTCATCTCATTCTACCTTTCTATGGAAAAGCAGTACAAGTCACAACCATGTTCATTGCCCAGATGTTTAACATTTTATTAAAAGAGCAAAGATTTGACAATGCATAGAATTAAAACCTGTTTGGGGGCCACTTGCCGGGCCAGCACCGAAGGACTGAAGAGATATTTTGCCCACTAAAAGTTGTCCTGTGTGTTGTCAAATTGCATTGCTCTGTCAGCCGGTGAGACAGTTCCGTGTGGACGAAGGGGCGCACGGTCAGCACCATGAGCGGCCGTCCCCAGTGTCTACCACGAGTCCATGCAGCGGGGAAGGAACATACGAGGCGAATGGCCCAGACCCAAAGACCAGAGGTCCCGCAGAGCTGTGACCTCAGAGAACAGGTCTAGAAACCGTTGTCACAGATGACCAACTTGACACAACAAGTCACTGACACTGATGTGTGACAGGCCAAGGCACAGTTACTCTCAGAAAGTTCCAAGTCGGGATCGCTCAGCGTGGAATCCCGCGGAAGCCTGGCACAGCCGCTCCTGAGGTAGGTGTTATCCTTTTTATACTCTGCCTGTCCTACACCTAGGAAGTCAAAGCATTCCACCCAAGCATGCTGCAGGCCACTCTGAGTAGGTTTGGTTTTTGGTTTTGAAACTGGCCTTCCTGTTGATAATGTTATCTTAATCCTTTTCCTACTGAGGTTAGATGTGCATTCAGGAATTACATCATTTTACACAGAAATGACTTTTCAACTGGAGGTGACTTGGGTCCTAAGGAAAAATGAAACCACTTTTCAAGTAAACCATGGAAATCACAAAGCCTGACATCCCGAAGGACGTAGGATGTTCTGGACACTAGAAATACAGTGTGCGCATCATTAGCAAGATTAGAAGCATTTTCCTGTGGGTGCTCTGTAATAACACTGGTTGGTTTTGTCTTTAATATCAAGGACTTTTTAACAAACTGGCGACACAGTGAAACAGTATGACATGTTAAAGCCAAAATTGGTTTTAGCTATCATAGATAAGCCATATGACAAGCAAGCTATTTGGTTGGCTGTAGCTCCTCCCTTCCATGTTGTACATGTTTGCTGATGTCCTCTGTGATGCATCCCGAAGATTAGAAGGAAAAATACTTAGTGAACCACTCCTGGTGTGGGGAGCCCTGTTTCTGCGGAGCTTCTTTAGGTTGGGCTGCGTCACCATCTTGTGCCCTAAAAACAAACACAAGAAAGTTGTATAGTTTCGGAAATGGTTCAGTAAACAACATAAGAGCACATCATCTTTCCAGGGAAACAGAACCGCTCGTTAGTCTCCAAAGGAGGCTGGACCATGGCGGCCTCCGTCAGTAGCTGGGGGGAGTGGTGGGGCTGTTGGCTTCCTGTTTTGGAAACGGAAAGTTCTCCATTCTTTGGATCTCCGTTGTTTTGCTTAAGACTGTGTTCACTATACTGAGCGTATGCTGCAGCATTTATTATTTATTTCAGGCACAGCACAAGTGAGATAAGGAGCCCAATATCAAAAGACATAAAAAAAAAAAAAGGTCAATCCACACAGCATTACAGTAACTGTGTCTTCAGTTATCTAAGGTGCTTTGTGTCTCAGCCGAGGCCGTGCAGTTAGCCTAAAAAGCTGAAAAGGAGAAAGTGGGCAACCAGACATCGTGTGCGCCGGGCGGAACCGTCTGAGAAGCTTCACATGAAACATCAAAGTAGCTTTTTTTTTTTTTAACTTTTTTTTTTTTTTGGTCTTTTTGAGACAAGGTCTCACTATGGAGTTCGGGCTGGCCTTGAACTCACTTTGTAGCCCAGGTTGGCCTCCAACTCTTAACGATCCTCCTGCCTCAGCCTCCCGAGTGCTGGGATTACAGGTGTGCGCCACCATGCCCGGATTCAAAGTAGCTTTAGATGGAGGTGTGCAGGATTGAGAAAAACCCACGGCAGCTGGGCTGTGCTTCGGGTCTTGGCCTCAGTTTCCACAGCTGTGAAACAAGGGCTGGACTCATTCAATGACCGCTGCAAGGGAGTTCTTCCAGCTCCACACTTGCAGGGCACCTGCATCCCTGCCGACCCCAGCAGGCAAGGAGTAGCGGGCAGGGCTGCTGACAGGATTCATGCAGGAGAGAAGCAATGAGGCAGAAAAGAGACCAGGGAGTTGTAATCTTAAACCTGTGCTTTCAAGAAAACTGAAGCTTCAGGCCAGGCATGACAGCACACACCTGTATTCCCAGCATTCTGGGAGGCTGAGGCAGGAAGATTGAAAGTTGAAGCCCAGCCTGGGTAATGTAGAAAGACCTTGTCTCAGAATTTAAAAATCAAAAGCGCTCGGATTGAGGTCTGCGTGAAGGCCCTTGCTTTAATCCAGTATTTGAAAGACGGAGGGGGACAGAGAAAGGGAAAGGGAGAGGGAGAAGGAAAAAAGGAAAACAAAAAGTGCCGATAGATATTGTAACATGGGAAGAAACTTCAAAAGCAAAGAGAAACAGGTTTAGGGGCATGGGGAAGGGGAAGGAAGGGAAAAGCAAAACAAAAAAATATATATGTATATGTAAAAACAAGATGGATATGCCGCTCATTTCTCGCAGTGCACTGAAAAGGTGGGTTTGTACTAATACTGTCTGGACAATGAAAGGCGGCATCTCGTACTCTGAGTAACTACTTCAAAGGTAACAATGCACAGTGTGGCGGTGTGCTGGCCACCGTTACCCTCCTATCATACTGCTCTGGAATTTTGTTCTTATGTTTATGTGTTTATTGTGCTTTTTGTTTCTTTTTCTTTAAAAAAAAATAGAAAAAAGGGAAGAAAAAGAAAAACTGCAGCCTCAAGACACAGTTACTAAAGGTTCCAAGGCCTTTTTCACTCTAAGCCTGTTTTTTTCCAGGCTTCTAAATTCGTGTCTTAAAGGTACAATAAGCCAGTGTTTTTTATTCTAATACTATAAATTCACGACTTTCACAGATTTCCACCTGTTAGAAAACAACACCGTTAACTCACAGCATATCTCTAAACTTCAAATACAGAGGCTGGGGATATAGCTCAGTGGCACAGCGCCTGCCCGGCAAGCAGAAGGGTGTGAGTTCAATTCCTGTCCAAACATGAAAAGATTAAAAAAAAAAAACCTTCAAATAGGTGCAGACGGCTTGCATTTTAATCTCGCTCCCTGATGGATAACCTCGAGACACATTCCAGATCAGTGCTGTGGACCTATGGCACACACACTACGGCCGGCTGTTTGTTATCAGTGAAGGCTCTGAAGGGCTCGCCGTCACTGTCCCGGATCATGCCTGAATGCACGGACTGGACATCATCTTGAGGAGGATGCCTCCGAGACCACATAAGCACCCAGCTCCTGACCAAATGCACCTCACGCCGAGCGCCGCCCTCCTCTCCGAATGTGGCTCTGGGATTCTGCCCGGGAAACCTGCCTGTGCCACTCCCTGACCTGTCCTGCAGTTCTCCACGAAGCAGGAGCCCACTGTGGGCAGCGGGGAGCGGAGGTCCCCATCTCCTGGGTGACAGGACCATTTTAGAAGGGGCTGTTTCTGAAATGCAAACATTAAGCCCAGAATTTAAAAACATGCCCTCTGAATGGAAGACTGGATAGGAAGACGAATTAATTAATAAACAAAGGAAAGATGTCACAAGTCTGGGAGAGAAGCATGTTGCAAAGGATGATAAGAAACCTGTGGCTGAGATCCCCATGCACACTGAACCCAACTCACAGAGTAGGAGGCCGTACAGTTCCAAAATAATACACGAAATCCCGAGAAGAATCCTAAAAATAGTGTAAGTGTATGGAATACTTCTGCACTGGGTCCTGTGTGCAGCGTGTCCAGTGGGTTAATTCCTTCCCTCCCTCACAGCCACGTGAGGTGGGTGCTGTATTATCTTCATCTTCCAGGTGGGGATACGCAGAACCCAAGGGGCCAAGTGACCTGCCCAAGGGCACACAGATGGGACAAAAGAGGCCCTGATTTTAGTGCAGACCTGAAGGTCAGGGGAGGAGCGTCCACCTCCTGTGTGACCCATGCGGGTGTTCTCAGCTAACTGAGTCCATGGGGAAAAAGCTAGAACACCAAAAAAGGCTTTCCGGGCTTGGTGTAGAACAGCCCCCCTTCTGAAGAATGACAGAATTCCCTTCTCACAGGCAGTCTTCCTGTTTGGCTAGACGGTCGCTTGGCCGTGGCAGGACTTGTTTTGCTACCTTTTATGTCTGCCCAAACCCCATTTTGCAGGTGCCAGAAAGGATCTTAATCGTCTTCCTGTCCATGGAGAAGTGGAATAACAGCGTCCAGCCCCTACCTTGCAGCAGTTTTTGCATCTACAGACGGGGTGGGCTTGTAGGGCCGGCCACAGTGGGGGCTTGGGTCCAAGCTGGGCGACTTAGTGAGCGGAGGGGCGTTGATCCTGGAGCTCAAATCTCCGCTCAGAAAGTTCTTCGCGTAGGAGGCAAGGTTGGGCACGCTGACCACCCGGCTGGGCACCTCCTCCATCTTTTTTTTCTGTTTGTATCAGAGGAAAGTTCTGTGAGTGCTACTACCAAAAGCAAGCGTTACGGTAAAAGGAAACAAGCCCCTCCCAACCAAAATGATGTGGGGAGGGGGTCACGATGTTATCGATACAGGGACATACTATTTTGTTATAAAATTGTTACAAAGTTTTATTTATTTTTTTGAGGGGCTGAGGATCAAACCTAGGACCTCAAGCACACTTGGCGAGCGCTCTGCCCCGTGGCTACACACCCGGCCCTTTAAATCATTTTTTTCTCCAGTCCTTACTTTGTGTTTCAAAAAATACATAAATCCACACACAGTCTATCTAAAACTTTGCACGTTTTATACTTCAATTTTTTTTATGGTTTGCAAGGCCATATAATTAAAATTGGCTGTGACCACTCTGTCTTCAAGTGCATTAATACTTCTGGACTAAAACTTACATTTTGTCACACTAAGGAATATATTAAAAACCATACAAGGGAGCTCCTCAGGTAAGGTCAGTTTAGGCTTTGTTTTGTCCTTTGGGCTATACAAAATACTAACTTTTTTGGAGCTATTCAGACCTTGTGATAAGAAATAAGAAACTGGGGTATGAATGTGCTCATTGTTACAAATTCCAAAAATACTGTAGAGAAATAGTTAAGAAGTGGGAGGCTCCTCCCCTCTCCCTTCTTCCCCATCACCAGATACAACTATTATTGATACTGCATGTATTTATTGTAGAAAACCTGGCACATACAGTGGCCCGTGGAAAACAAATACCACACAGAATCTCCCTCGCCTGATACAAACAGCGCCTGGGTGGTGCCTGCCGTGGACTATTCCCTGTGGACACCAGCCCATCAACGAGCTGCAGTGACATGTAGGAGGACAGAAGCCTGCAGAGCGCGCTGCCGTGACACCGGTAGAGCTACTTTACCTTCATGGAAGGGGTCAAATAGCCTGGGTGAGGATTGAAGGAAAAGGACCGATTCCGATGGGACATGGCGCTGGGGAAGGCTGCGTAGTGAAACCGCCTCTCCTCCTAGAAAGCAACACAACTGAGTCCAGATGCGCCTCAGCACACAGCCCTGGGTTCCACTTGAGGAGAGGAGGGCAGAATGGGAGAGAAGGAAGGTCGGGGAGGGGAAGGGCAGCAGTGGCAACCCAGATGCCAGCCCCTGAAGCTTCCAGAAAGCATCCCAGCCCTTTGGCTCCCGCCCGAGGTGTGATTGTTAATCCTGATGTCAACCTCAGAGGACTGAGGAACTCTGAGCAGATACGCATTGCGTGTCCCTGGGCGTGGCTGGGTGGGTCATGGAGGTGGGACCAAGGGTCACTCACCCCTTCCCACCAGCACTGTGGCCCTGCTTGCTTCCCCAGGCCACGGACTAAGATCTGTGCTCTGCCATGCACTCCTGCCGTGCTGTCCCTGCCTGGGACCCAGCTGGCCACGGACTGCATCTGTGAGCCGTTAAACCTCTCTTTGAAGCTGTGGTGTCGGGTGATCAGCCCAGCCCTGGGAAAAGCTGACTAATACGCAGGGTAAGAATCCCAAGTATTCTTCGCATCCAGAACTAAAACTCTACTGCAGAAAGTTGAAGATTAAGGCAGAGAAAGAAAACCCCAGCTATGCAGAAGACTCCACCTTCCCTCTCTTCTATGCTTTTGCTTGATGTTTGTACCATAGATATTGCCTACCTGCACTTAGGCGGGGAGGGTATTGAGACCCTGCTCCCGTTTCAGCAACGGTAACCACATGGCTGGTTTGGGTTATGTATGCTCTCTTCCACTTTTTTCCCTTGTATTATTTTTAAAGCATGTCATATTTCATTGGTAAGAACCTCAGTAGGTGTTTCTAAGAAATTAAGGGTGTTTTTTAAAAAAGCATAACAACAATGCCTTTCTCACACTTTGTGAGTAATAATTATTACTTTGTAAGTAATAATTCCTTATTAATGTGATCTAATTTTACATCAGTGGGTGTTGGAAGTAGCTTTGATAAACTAGAAAACAAATGCTCATTTTTACTAGTAGATCAATAAGTCATTAAAAATTAGTTGATTCTACAAAAATTCAAAAGCAAACCATTCCAGATTGTTCTCTAACCCTCTAGGTTAAAAAAGCAACTGAACCAATGTCAACATCAAACAAGTGCTGTTGGACTTGGAAGTAGAATGTTTTTCTTTGCCTTCTATCTTCTTGCATTCATTTTTTAGTGAGGGATTTGTGTGTGTGTGTGTGTGTGTGTGTGTGTGTGTGTGTGCTTGCTTGCTTTTTTTTGTGAGACAGAGTCTCACTCCATAGTGCAGGCTGGCCTGGAACTCACTATGTAGCCAGGCTGTCCTCGAATATGCTGCGATCCTCCTGCCTCAGCCTCCCAAGTGCTGGGATTGATTACAGGCCTGTGCCACCACACCCGGTGTTTTTTTTTTTTTTTTTTCTTTTTTTTTTTTCTTTAATAATAGAAAAATAAGGATTGTTTGTAAGGCAAAATTGGGGGGCACCGAGAGAAAGGCCAGGTGCAAATGCCCGCTGGGATGATGCCGCAGTGCACGGCCCAGGTCGCCCTGGGGCCTCACCGTGAGCTGCTTGATGATCTCCTCGCGCTCCTTGAGGCGGGCTTGCAGGCAGCCTATGAGCTGCAGGTCCTCGGGCCTGGACGCTGTCTTCCCCGGCTTCTCTCCGGAATCCTTCAGTCTGCCAAGGCAGGCAGTGAGTTACTCAATGCGCAGGGAGGGGGCCAGGGGTTGCGATGAGGGCACGGCGGCGTGTGCTTCGGTGGGAAGCCCAAGACACCAGGACACAGCTCCAGGCGCGCGTCACCTGCCTCTGTAGGCAGTGACGGTGGGGCCGGAGCCTCGGCGTTGCTCTGGCGCCATCTGCTGGCCGGCCCAGGCAGCACGCGCTACCTGCCCGCAGGGTCTCCAGACCCCAGGGATGGCGACATGACTTCCTGCGTCTTTCTAGCTGTGTGACCGAGGCTGCAGCCTGTCTCCCGTGAGCGCCGCTCTAAAAATGGGCCTCACACAGGGCGGTTGTGAGGACTCGACGGGGGGTTTATCCCTGGCAAGGGGCTGGTGCCCACAGGGTGGTGGCGGGTGAAACCTGTCTCAGCCACTTGGAGACAGTGCAGACCAGGTGACCTTGACGTTGACCCCGAGCTGCACAAACGCGGGCTATGGTCTCGCCTGCCTGGACCTGGGCTGCTGCCCCCAGTGGCCTCCCTAGCAACCACACCCTGCCCCTAGCTCCTCATCTCTCAGCATCTGCAGGTGACCCTTGACTGTAAATGATGGGGCCACTCGCCACCCAAAGCCTTGCAGCGGCTTCCTCGGCATTCGGAACTCCTCCCCTTTCAGGGCGAGCTCTCTGCCATGTACTCCTTCCTACCACTCACCCTCTCCTTCACGCCGATCGGCCACACAAGCCTCTGCCCGTGCTGCTTTCAGGTGCACTGAACAGGCCCCAGGACCTTTGCACTTGCTGTCCCTTGTCCTTAATATCTGTCCCTTGCTCTGGCCTCCTTGTAGGTAAGCATCGCCTCCTCACAGGACTTTCTCACCCACCTTTCCCACGCTGTGGAGCTGATCCTGTCTCCCAGGACTTGCATCACCTTCTATGAAGCTAAATGTTTATTTCTTGTCTGAATCCTGATCTAGAATTTGTATGAAAACATAGTTTTTGGATTTTTCCCTGGTATCACTCTGGAGCCTAAAAGAGCACGTGGCACAAGTGGGTCCTCAGTGAAATGTGCTGAATGCGTGAGTGCGTGTGCACCCAGGGAGCTCCGCCTTCTTTAACCATCAGGGGAACAGCAGCTCGCACCTTGCAGGACCTTTGCGAGGACGGAGGTGGCGCCCGCTAGCACGGTCAGTAGCAGCTCTCCCGACTCCTGTGGAGTCCGAGGGGTCAACCAAGCCCACAAACTGCTCCGCCCTCCAGCGCCCCAGGCCTCTCCAGCCCGTAAAATCCTGGGAGACTGAGCACCCTCCCCCAGCGGGACCTGAAGGGTTCCCGGGACCCAGGACGAGGCATAGGAAAGCCAGGAGAGGGCAGGGCCGCTGGGACGCCTCAGCCACCTCCGGACCTCGCCAGGGCCCCCGGCCCTACTCACTCGGCCTCCAGGGCAGCCAGCCGGGCCTGCAGCCGCGCCTGCGCGCTGCTGAAATCTGCCACCACGGCCTGCATCTCCTTGCGGTGCTCCTGGCGCAGCGTCTCGGCCTCGCGGGCCCGCTGGGCTCGCTGGTCCTCCTCCAGCACCCTGCGGAGAGGGAGAGGGCAAGGCTCCGGCGATGCGCCGGACCCGGGGGTGTGCGTTGCTCCTCTGCTGGGAGACCCTGGGGCGAGGAGGGAAGTGATCCAAGCTCGGGGCACCCCTGAGGACAGCTGGGGCCTCCACGTGGGACCCCACTCCGGGACCCCTTCTCCACACCCTGTCACCCCCACATCCGTGTAGAAGAAACTGCGCAGGAGGGCAGCACCTTGGAGGCGAGCCCCCCCCCCCACCAACACTCTCTGCCCCGCTTGCAGCAGCGGGGAGACCTGGACGCTGGGACCCTGAGTCCAGGGAGGTCCCTAGTCCAGGCCCAAAAGACGGGTGGGGTGCGCTGGGAGAGCGGGATTTGGGGCCGGCTGTGTGCGCGCATGGCCTCCCCTTGGATCCCGCTTGCGACCTCGGGCCGGCTGCCCCTGCTCGGCGCATGACTGCAGGTGACATGGCTGCCTCCCGTTAGCGCCGCTGCAAGGAGCTGCGTGGCACACGCCTAGAACAGCACGGCAAAGGTGTGTTCAACCACGAGCTGTCATCTTTCTTCATCTAGTGAGGTCCTAGGGGTCCACAGGTGACCCCTGGGGGTCTTCTCCCTCAGAAAGCACACGGGAATTTGGGTGTGATCCTTTTGTTTTTTTTTTTGTTTTGTTTTGTTTTTTTTTTTTGGTCTTTTTGAGACAGGGTCTCGCTGTGCAGTTCAGGCTGGTCTTGAACTCACTTTGTAGCCCAGGCTGGCCTTGAACTCCCAAGGATCCTCCTGCCTCAGCCTACCGAAGGACGAGCCTATCTTTATCACAGAGAGGCAGCATCACTTTCCCCACTTGGAGGGGGTCCACCCTGGTCCAACCTTCTCATTCCAAGGACTCGCTTGTCACACGGCGAGTCAGCACGGAATGGGGCCGCCGGCTGCCTCTCTGGTGAGTTCCGGCCTGCAGTCTATGGAGACTCCTGCCCCGGCCAAGGCCTGCGCTACTACACACCCGGTGGGCCTGGGTGGGGACTGGGCGCTGTTTTCCGCCGCTGTTTCTTGCAGCTAAAGGGAAGTAACGGACTGGCCTTCACTTTCAGACCCGCAGGAGCAGCCGATGCAGAGTCTAACTAAGGCTAATTGGGGCGAATTCTCCGGCTCCGAATACCCCAGCCCCAGTGACCCTGAAAAGCTGGGGGCAGAGTCCAGTCGGGGCTGTCCAAGGCTTCCAGGTGTCTGAAAAACGTTTGTTTATTTATGTACTCATTCATTTATGGTGCTGGGAGTCCAACCCAGGGCCTTGCACGTAACAGGCGGGCGCGCTACCATTCAGCTGCACCCCCAGCCGGCAGGTGGTTCCGATGCGGGCTACAGTTCGAGGACCCTGACGGCGGACTCTGCTGGGTCAGTGCTGGGTGCTCAGCCCTTACTTCTCTCACCAACCCATGGGCCGGGCGCTATTGCCCCCCCCACACACACACACACACCGGCCCTGGAGAGACCCAGAGTTCCAGCGCCGTGCCCAGGGCCATGCTTATATAAGAGGCAGAATTAACCGCTGTTTACCAGACCGCAGGCCCCGCCTTCTGCACTGGACATGTGCCCAAGCGAGTCATCCCCTAAACTTCCCCCTCATTTTACAGAATGGTTGTGAAAATTAAAGGAAGGGGGACAACGTCGGCTTAAAGGCATAATCCGCAAGTAACAGGGAAAAGGGGACCTCTGGACACTAAAATGACAGAAAGAGAAAACACAAGCAACTTTAGCCCCAAGCCCGGGACATTTAAAAACTTAGACGAAGTGCACAAAATCCTTGAAAGACATAAATAACCGAAAGGGGGGCTGGGGATTTAGCTCAGCGGCAAAGCGCCTGCCTGGCAAGCGCAAGGTCGTGAGTTCGGTTCCTGGTACCGGAGAAAAAACAAAAAAACAAAAAAACAAAAACAAGAATAAATAACCGAAAGAGTCCTGTGTCTAGTAAGAAATTGAATTTGTATTAAAAACCTTCCAACCCTCACACCGCTAGCTAAGAGTGCCCGGCACTGTCCGAACCATTCCTCCCACTCTCTCTGCAAAGCTGGATTCGAGGACACTCTGGTGTCCGCCCTCCCTCCCTTCTAGGTCTGATAAACTTCCCGATTTGCAGGGAAACTGGACTTCTTTTATTTCGAGGCAAAACCTCGGGCTCTTGGTTAACTGTGGAGGTTAACAGCGTCCCAACCCTGAATTCACACTGAGCTGCATCCTCAGCCCTTGTTTATATTTCGTATTTTGAAAGAGAATCGCAGCTACACTGCCCAGGCTGCGCTGGAATTTGTGATCCTCCTGTCTCAGCCTCCCAGCGTGCTTGGATTCCAGGCATGCACTCTCACTCTCAACTCCCCTGCAGTTTTAAGATCTAGAATTCCCAGACTGCTGGTACTTTTCCGGGGCCAGCGGAGCGACACCCACGAGGCGGGAGTGCGATGGCGCCATGGGCTGGGGTGGGGGGTGTCTACAGGGGAGGGCGAGGACGCACCTGCGCTGCTCGCGGAGCTGGCGCGCCTCCTGCTGGAGCTGCTCGGCCTCGGCGCGCAGCCGCAGTACGGCGTCCCGGAGCCGCGCGTTCTCCTCGCG